TAAAATTAAATATTATCCGGAATTTGTCCATACTTTTCCATATTCTTTCTCGCAGTTTTAGTGACATTTCAGCATTATCTTAAAGGGACACTATTCAAATTTGAATTTCTTTTTAATGTACTTGGAAATGAAGTTTCTTCTGGAATTGGAATCACTGTATTGGAATCATGATTTCTTATTACACTGTGACATTGCAGTGGTTTTAGTCCGTTCGTTGTCTAGCTATTTTAGAGACTACTGTTACTTTACACCTGAGTGTTTTCTGTGTAAAACGGTTTCCTCATGTTGTTCATGTACACACTCACATCCGGTATCTGCTACAGTTTCAATTTCACAGAACATTTTTATATACAAGTTATTTGTAGTCTTTTTCCATTTTTCTTTTCCCCTTTCCTGAAAACCACTCGACAAAGTCTCGCCCAGCCAGCAGCATAATGCGAATGCAGTGTGTGTTCGTATATTGATCATTTGTGATCGTGCACCGCGCCTGCCCAATCTCCAGCATCTCGTACACATAGCAAGATTAATTGCCACCTCAGTGACATATGCCATCTCAATACTCCCATATCAGTTTTTTTTGGGGTGAGATGAATGTTGTAATAATGGCCAATGATGAAAACCTGTGTAGATGAAGGAATATAGAAAGGTAAGCCATCAACTAAACACACAGAAAACTAAGGAATCATACTGCGTTACATGTATTTTGTGCAAAACAAAATGGTGCCCCTTTTTGACTGTCATTTTCAGGCTTTACTCAACTGGGCGTTGGAAGTGCCAATCCAAGGCTTCACCAACTATTGAGCTTATACATAATAAACTATGCATTCTAAACTGCAACCTTGTGGAAAACCTTTCCCTAAGTGGACCACTAATTCAAAAGTGATATTTGTGTATTATTTTCAATTATTCATGCATGCACGCAGTTGATGTGTGTGCTTGAAACTTAAATTTAAATTCATACACATATCGCAGTTAGAATTCCGATATGTAATATTTTGAATACAACTTGTTAAACCAAATCTAATATTAATGGATATTATTGAGTGCTTGTCAGATACATTGAGAGTACATCTGTGACTCATCAATATATTTATGTACTTATTGCTCTTTGTCGCATGCTAGGATAACCTCACAGCTCGTGACTTGTAAGTTCCTTTTTATTATATTGTGATTGTCAAATCAGTTTGGTGGCACCTGTGTAAAATTGTGGCAGGCCAGAAACAAGTAGGTGTGATGTTTTTAGATGAATAAATTCATTTGGGAATACCACAACATCCATGTTCAGGTTATCAGTATGTTTCTGACCCAGCTACATATCTTAACATTTTAATCAGGAAAACAAGTGGCAGGTGTGGAACTGCCAATTTCTGTTGTTATGTAAGCTTAAACCACCTGCAGAATTGGCAAGCAGGATCAAACTTTGGCCGCTGGTTGGTCTTTCTGCCTGACACAAGGGCATTTCAGCTCGACCGGCTCTTCTATTTTTGGCAAGCTGTGAGTGTGAAACGGTACATTTTTTTAGGACCTGATAATAGGAACAACCAGTGCTGCATGAATGATGTCATCATGATGTCATGTTTTGTAGCATGTACATGTAGCATCCACCATGACTAATAAAAACTGTAAGAAATACGGTTTTCAAGAAAACCATATTTGTCAAAGTTTGATCTTTCAAATTTTTTTCTTTAAGTATAGACTTTGAAAAATGTATTTTTCTTTGAAAACCTTATTTTCCATATAAAACCGTGTTTTTTCTTTCATAGAAAAAGAAAGTTTTCATGAAGAAAAAAGAAGTAGTGTCGATTGTACAAAGCCCAGCGACAATACTATTGAAGTACAAAGCATTGAGTGCAGTTGTATCCACTTTCACATCCAGCAGAGCGTCTAGTGACGTGTATGATAATCAACTGAGCCATCCAAAATTCCACTTGACAGTTTCCCTGCTGTTATTGGCCATTTTTGATGACTTCATAAAATTGTTGTGTATCAACACCATTGAGAAAACTCAGAAACTGGATGCTCCACTGACGCAATTGTCCCCTGACCACAGCCTAGGGCTGGTCTTCCGTTGGACTGGACTATAAAAAGATTTTAATGATGTGACTCGTCATACCGCACTTTTTGCCTGATTTGTGTTCCAAGAGGCTTTTTTTAAATAGTGCACCCAGTTGGTGACTAAGTCACCTGCGGTTTTGTTGGTGCATCACACTTTGAAAAGAGATGTTTTGTGCTTGTTTTCATTCATGTTGTGGTCCTTTTAGGAGTTATAACTGGAAAAGCAATATATGACTCTTTCCAATTTAATAGATTGAAAACCGCTGACTGGTCAACAGTTTGAATGGTGTATGTAGTGCATTTTGTTGTCTTGATCGGGATGAAGGGTTTCAATCTGTTCACATGCCATTAATATTTGTGCTACTTTTGTCTGGTTGAGAGAATGTGTCATAAAAATCAGGAAATTTTTGTGTCCCCATTGTCACCGAGATGCTTAAATGTAGAGCATTTGAAACATTTATAGCTATTCAATTTATGTTTGTGTTCAATGATAACATCCCTGCAACATTTTGATGACATCAGAAGTATAACCTGTATTAAGAAACTGTTCAACTTTTGAAGTTGGTTGGGACAAGTATTTCAGTGGCAGCTCTCCTTTCTTCAGGTTAGCCATGGCATGGGAAGTCTGTTATTGGTGCAAAGTGCACTGTTGAAGGCTTGGCAGTTGGAGGAACATCCCATTTTTGCTTAAAGGCTTAATGTTCATTGATTGAATTAACACTTTGCTTCCTGATTACTTTTCTCTGTGGGAAGTTTGCACAGCGGCTTAGCCCTTAAATAGATCAGCCTTGGTTTATTGCCATTGACAAGTATCAAGCCTGACAAAAAACTGTCCTGTGTTATTGTTTGCCAAAAGGATATGTCATAGTTCCTCATGGTCATTTGGTTTTCTAATCTTCTGTCAACCCTCACAATCCAAGATAAGCCAGAATTGTTGTATTTACATGAGCAAATGGTTATCATATTGGACCTGAGGAAATAAAGTTTATGTTTTGTGTAGAACAATCAGTATAGAATTGACTTTTGATTGTCGTTAATGAAGGACCGTCATGAACATAGAATTTTTTTTGAAGATCCTCTGTGTGACAGTGGGATTTTTCTGTGAGTCAGAAAGTCCTATGACCCCCCCAATACACACAGCCAAAAAAGAGCAATTTCTCAGTCTGCTAAGGATAAAATACATGTACGCAAAAATAACAAACACACCAGCCAACAACTAAGAAATGCACTATCCATGTTTCTTTAAACAACATCCTTGGAGAGGGGCATTATCAGTTTGATTGGCTTGTTGGGGCCTTGATTGTATCATAAATGAGATAAGGGAGATTAGTAACACTGACTAAGTGGGTCAGGTAAAGCTGGTGCTGGTGTTTATGGTGGGCACATGGGCAAACCCAATGATTCATCCTGCTTGCGATTGTTGTTGCTCTGCCTGTGTGACGACAAAATGTATAAGCCAACCACAAACAGCGGTGCAGTTGTGGTTGGGAGGGCAGAACAGGTGTATACAGTGACCCATCATGTGCTTCCATCCAGAACACACCAACCCCAGAATCTACTTAGTCACGTCCCACGGAGAGTCTCCGGTCCTTTTATTTCCTTTTCACAGTAAGCCGGTACTGGAATTGACAGGATCGCATGTCATAATTATTTACGATTCGAAACCAGTGTAGGTCTGATGTGGATGTACTTGGAATAGACTAGAACTGTCTGTAAACTTGGAGTATAGTGGAGTATAGTGTGATAGGTGTTCAGTTGGAACTAACACTAACAGAGCAAGTGAGTTGCTCTATGCTTGGAATAATGAAGTTAAAACACAGCCATGCTACTCATAAAGCTAGGTAAGTCCTCATTGTGATTAGTAACTACAAATTTAATTAACTTGCAACTTTTTTTTATTTAATTGTTTGCTTTTCAGTGATGTAAGTTCAAAAGCTTGTGGGGAAAAAAGGTTTTTTTGACTTGTGGGAATTCAATCCCAACATTTCTGCTAACTTAGTACAGACATTTCACCAGTTGACCAATGAAATTCCTGAGATGTTCAGATTTGATACAGCAGCAGGATACCACAGTCAGCTTACATGGGAGTTATGTCCCTGGTTTTGCCCCTTCTCTCTCCATTTTCCCCTTCTCTTAACTTCCAGAAGTACTTTCATTGAAATTGAATAACAGTGCCTTCAGTTATTTCTTGGCCACAATACCTTTCAATTCTCACAACGGTCTTTTGTCTCACTTCAACTTTTGTCTCCGATTGTTTCTTCATTCAACGTTCTGTTCCTCCAAATTCCTTCCAGGGGCTTTTTCCCTCTGTGATTCTTCTTGTGTTAAGCAGAAGTTATTTATGTCCATTCTACATTGAAACGGATGTGTTCTACCCCCTTTCTATGCTTGCAGCATTGCAAATTATTTCTTTCGGAGGAAAAGGCCTGTTGTTTCAAAACATCACTCAGGACAGTTCATTTTTAATACCAGTCCAGGAAAAGTTGATTACCGATCAACTCAGTCTACATCTGTCTTTCATTCTCCCAGTCGTTTTCTTGAATGCCTTTTTCCGTGAAGTCATCAACCTTTCATGCTCTTATCTCCCTGTCTTGTACCCTATCCATTCTCCTCTCTCATGTTACAAATCTTCACTGACGGCTGTGCTCATGTTCAGCCTGGAAAATGTCTTGCATTCTATGCTCTAGGAGTCAAACATAACACCTGATATATTTTGGGAGACTGTGCCTGCCTTCATATCACATTGTCAGAATATATGACATGTTGACGTCAAATAACAAATACTCTTTACAGGTATGTTTCAAGTGGGATTCTTCATGTGGTTCCATGTGCACGTTGCACCTTCAGTGACATCTCCAGGATACTGAGCTGGGATCACACACAGGACCTCCTGCTTGCAATCACTTTATTAACCAGAGCTTCTTTGTCTTACCTTTTTGCTTTAGGCGACGGGAGATGGATGGACAGCTATTGTGTGAGGATCATGCTCCCAAAGACAAGGGAAAATCTGTCAATGGAGAGGTAAGAGAAAACTCTTCTTTGCTTTCCAAATGCATACTTCAAGTAATACACGATAAGTTGTTTCAACCTGTCAAACAGTTCATCACATCTTTGATTACTTTTTCTACACTCTTACTCAAGAAATTTCACTGGATTATACTAAATTTAAGTTTACTTTTTCATCAATATACATGTATTTTTCCATAGATCTAAGAGCCCTCATTCACTAGTGAGTGCTTAATTAATTAAATATTTAATCTTCGTGTGGCACTTAAGCTTTATCAAATGAATATGTTTTTAAAATTCCTTATATTTCTTAACTTATAAAAATTATTATTAAAACAATGTAAGGTTCCTTCTTTATCAAAAAGATGAGTTATACATGGTCACGTGTTCCAGTAATCCTCAACTTTTTGTTCTCTGTTTATCACGGTATTTTCTGCCCAAGTTTCATTGTCTAGTGGGAAAAAGTACCCAGCATCCCCAAACCAAAAGAGCATATTAAATTGACTTACCAGTTTTGAAAAGGGTTCATAGGGAAACCAACCCAGGTCTGTCGCAGCCCTGTTGAGAAATGGTATCTGCTATCCCTCCTCTGGATATGGCCAAAAATGACAAATAGTCATCATAGTTTCATGAACTTCTACAACCCAACCCTCTGTTAGTCTTGTGTATCTAAAAACAGGGAGTGGTGCATTGTTTTTATTCAGTGAAGATGATGCAGAGAGGTTGGGTAAAGGAGCACATATGTATATTTTAGATTTCAATTCACGGTTGATATTCCCGAGTGGTTTGTGGAAGTCTTTTGGGATAGGACGTGCTGGTGTGGTTCTTTCCTGTAAAGTTATCCGCTGTTGATTCAAATGTTCAGATATGGGGGCTGTCGTATAGCTGATTGGAACATTGACAAGATACTTCTTACCGTTGGGTTGTCATGTACCTATGGCAATGCCTTAAAAAGAATAAATATCTAGATTTTAAAAATAAAAAGCCACAAATGAATCATCAATTTACATTGGTTTCATTCTGCGCAGTCAGGTCCACTTTTAGGGGTAGGATGTACGCACAGAGTGCCAAGCCTTATTATTGCGATGCACCTGTTCATAAGAACACTTGGCTTGGACACTTGTCACCATTCCAGTTAGCGTTTTTTGGACTGTTGGCACATTTGTATTTCTGTATTGCACTCAAAAATGTGGAACTTATTAGCTTGCTATCCAGTTCGTAGATCTAAGGTATCGTCATTGCTTTCATTTCAATGATTGTGAATTGAAGTTGTATACAGATGAATTTCTGTGGCCAAAAATTCAATTAATTGTACCTCTGTGAAGCAAAGGCTGTGATGTGACAAATGCTACTGTTGCATTTTCTTATTTCTACAGAGTTCACAAGACCTTGACTTTTTTGAACTTCTGCAAAAAATACAGGTAGGACTAATGTCAAGGTTCAGTTGTAAAGTTGACCATTTGTGTTTACACCATTATCTGCTATCATGTGGCTGTATTATTGCTCTTCTGATATCAGAGAGACTATCACATCGTTTTCCATGAATTTACTGATTAATGGATTAAACATTAATTGGTAACCCTTTCATGTCTTTCAAAAATCCACCAGCAAGGATTGAGGAAGTTAAAACCCAGCTACTATCCGCTCTGAGCGGAACAAAAGAGGGCGTGTTTTTTGGTACTAACCGCATAGACATGTCATGATGCGCACAAGTATATGCGCGTTTGACGCAGAGCACACTGAGTACGCGTACCTAATTTACTCTGACATGTGTGGTCTTTGCGTACACGCAGAATGCGTGCAAGAACCCGCTTGTAACCACCTGTCTTTCTCTTTGCCCATTGGGGGTGCACTTCAGCTCGGGGCAGATTACTCTTCACTTTGGAACTTAATAGTTGGGTTCCTGCAAAGTGGAGGTTTTTAGACTTAGACGAGAGCTTAGAAACTCAATGTATGACTGACCTTTTTCGAAAACAGTTGACAGCAAAGAGTAAAAGTTTTCTGTGGAAAGTGAGTGCTCTGTACTGCGCCCATGTTCAATATTTATAGTAACTCGAGTATAAGGCTGTTAAATTGGATGTGGTTGGTTCGTGATAGTGAACATGCAGTTGCAGTCTTATTTACATAATGTAAATAATATGTAATACATGTAATATAATGTAATATGTATATATGTAATATATGTAACAAATATGTAAATAATATATAATGCAGTAATATTTACATAATTACATGTACATTTTTTCCTGTTCATCGCAGAGTGATCGCTTAGACGAGCAAAGATGTTCATTGCCATTAGTACTTCAGGTAAGGCACTTTGCCTGTTTATTTTTCTCCCATTTTTACTTAATTCTCTCAGAAAAAAAAATCAAATTTCATGAGTGCCTTGTGTAACTGATTGTGCACTGGTTAGCATAAAACACCTGTACTGTGTACAAGACTTTGAGGGTATCCTACTATTAATACAATTTTGCCCCTTTTCCAGCAGGTCAATATTTGTGATTGATTTTTCTTGTAGTTGGAGGGAGTGTGACCTGTACTACATAGCTGAACTGTGTGTAGTGATTGGCCTTATATTGGTCCTATAGATGCTATGCTATTAACTGCAGAAAACTAGGTTGCTCATCATCACACAAAGGGCAACTATGGCTGCAGTAATGTCAGAAGTAGCTGCCTTTGCTATAGAGCAGGTTACTGTAGCCCAGATGTCATCTGATGTGGTTGTTGGTTGCTAAGCATTAATTTTCTGCTTAGCAGCTAATAACATTATAGGCCAAACTTGGATGCACTCTTGGGATGCAACCCTTTCACACTCGAAGCCGTATCACATCTAACAGTTTCACGCCAGTGTAAAGTTGCGTAGCACTGCTTCAATAGTTGCAATGGTTTTGCAAAAAAGAGGTTGTTTCAGAAAAAAAAGTTGTCAACCTTAGATGTTTCCAGTGAGCTAGACATGCTAATTGGGCATATCTGTGTTCCTGCCTGGTTGTTTTCAACCAAGTTCTAGCTCTGGAACTGGTGCACTTGTCGTTGCCGGCTGGCTATACTAGCAGAAAACATTGCAAGCTTTGCACAACCCAAGAAATTCAGTCCCGTCTTTAATCCTCACAGAAACCACAGAGGGCAAGAGGAAGCAGGCTAATCCACTCCATGTCACTTTTAATTCCACCCTATTAAAAACAATAGAGGGGTCTAATTCCGACATCAACAGGGGCGTTAGTTGGTTGTGATAACTTGATCATGGTTGGAAATGCTTGGTTAGTCGGTATTACCCTGTCTGGCTTTAAGGGAAGACTGGATAAAGGGAGTGGCTTTAATTCCCTACGTGTTTTTCCCTGTCAGAATAGACTGCATTTTATGATGCTGATCATGCAGGAAAAGGATATTAGGGAAAACTGAATGAGCGCAGTAAATTTGGCAAATAATTATTTCTTAATACCAGGAAGTGTAAGAAACATAAAAAACAAAGTAATCCACTGACAGTATGATTAATTAGACCTAATGTGCTATTATTATGGATAGGCTATTAGTCGGGTATTATCCTGGTATGTCATTATTTTCTGATATGTTACTGACCACATTCATGTCAGTCTTCACAGAAGACACTTGTGCTGTAGTATTTATTATGGAATGCAAGCAGGTGTTGAAAGTTCATGCCACCATTTATGTTTTGTATCGTACCATAGGATTTTATGTGACAGCTTTAACTTTGAATCTTTCCCAAATTCCAGTCTGAGTGCGCAGTGGAGTGCATGGAGCCTCCGTCTGTTTCAGAACCACTTTCCTAGGCAAAAACAGCTTTGCTATTAATTATCTGTTGGTTTCTAGTCCCACCATCACCAAATAAGGACACTTGTTTGGCTAGAAGGCCTGATTTCAACACACAACTCCTCACAACATGATCCAACATTAGTCATGTGCCTGTGCTGTTTGTCTGAGATTGGCAGAACAGCTGGAGCAACAGGAAGCAGATGACAAGAATAATGCTGTTTAAAAAGTCCCTTTTTACTAGGACTCGCTAAAGGGACCTCAGGCTACTCTTGTGTCTTACAGACTGAGGAAATTTTCACCTGCTAATTTGTTTTGGAAGGATGGAGCTATCAATAATCGAATCCCTGTATAACCCAACTAGAAATCCACAAAAACTAAAACGAATACCGAAAATGTCACCCTCCAAAAGAAATAGAGTGAGTATTAATTGCAATACACAATTTGGACTGATCTCCCCTACAGAGTACTGGATCACCTGCAGCTGCCAAAGAAAGACTCAAGGCACGGCACTCCAACACCTACAGAATAAAAGAGGTAAAACAAAAAAAGTGGGGCAACTTGTAGTGAAATTTAAAGAGGTGTATGAGGACATGAGCTATCTGATTTCCTACTGAGAGGTATTGATTTTGTAGGCCTGCAGAAAAGCTTAAAGTTTACTCCCTCATCATCCGCAGCTCCTTAAAAAGAACGGGCCACATCCCAACATCCTCCAGCCCCATAATGGTGGCTTCTGGATTGACGGCCTGGACCTGGACCCCTCGGCCACTGATGACGTCAGTGCCGAACTCTGTCCATTTGCCTCGGACCGGCTCGTCTTGGAATACGACGACACAAACGAGATGTACAGGAAATACTTCCATGGAAAGGTAAACAAGACTGTATTGGATGTGATTGTAAATATACGTGTCCTCGTCATTCAACAAGCAATGGAGCCTGCAGCAGCTTGACCAGGATATTGAACATATTGATTCGGCCATGGAGTCCACCTGCACGCTTATTTTCATGGTCAATAACTAAAAATGGGGAGGGAAGTTGAAATTGGTGTAAGCCACTCTCTTTTTTTTTCTTGTGGGGAAGAATTGTATGTATAAAATGTTGATGCAGCACAGTTATGTTGGCTAGTGTGACAGTGTCGCCCATCAAAGAATTTGTTGATGACTTTTAACATATTGTAACTTTTGGCAGTATAGTGATTCATGAACCTTTTATGAAATAATATATAACATGTAGGGATTCTCAAATATATGTACATCTGCTGGCCCCAGTGCTTTCAACATTTTTAGGGCTTCCCGTAAATTCTAACCACACTCTGGTCCTGATGATTAAAAGTAGGATATGAGCATTAAGGAAAATTATGCGGTCAATGACCTACCCTTTAAATAACTTCACCCACGGGCAACTTCATATATTTTTCAGGGGGAAGATGTAAGAGATGCCACAACCTTAATCCAGACCAATATATAGTTGTATTTAACTTTTGTCTCTCAAGGAGCACTTTAACTACATAGCCATGGATGAGAGCATGGGACCTATAGTACTATCCATCAAGCAGGAGACGACAAATGCAGAAGAGCAGATCAGAATATTACTCAGGTGAGAGATCTCTTTCCAATCCTTCGAAGGCAAACTTCAAACTCCACTTTGTTTGTTCAAGTACCCTGCTGTGTTGAAAAAAAAAAATTTACCAAAGCTTCGCATGCAGGACATGTATCTTCTCAGCCCTTTAACTTCTGTTTTACCTGAGCAGATAATGGCTCATAATTTGGGTCCATGATAATTCTCTTGCATAGAGATAATTCACAAGGTGTCTCCGCAAACCTCCTACCTTATTACATCTCATAGATAACATTGCAGAATACATTCTGAGAAATATTGTACCGGTGAAAACCTCTTGTCTTTGATAAGTAGCAGAACCAGCATTCATAAAAAACAGGTGGGGCCTTAAACATTTACAAGTGAACCAACCCATTTGAGTTGGGGGTATGTTACTGACAATTCCTCTCTCGAAACCCTGAGAGCAAATACAGGTACAACCACATTGTCTGTCAGCATTACACGTATCGCCGGTGTTGAATTTCACAGGTACAATACATTGCTTCTGACTGGAATTTCATCTCAACTGCAGTAGGGAGTAAATATAGTTGCCTGGTGATGCTGTCAAAGGTCGAGGCATAATATTCCAAGTCAGTGCTCATGCCAAAGTCATAGCTAATAAATTGTTCTGTATTTCCATTGTCAGATGTCGGAGTGGTACCACACACGATCTGCTGCCATTGTCTACCTTTGGAAACTCTCTTGTGCCGTCCAAACTTGCCAAAGTAAGAAATTATACCTCCCAGGGCTGTCTCCATGTTCCCACTGATGTCTCCACCGGGGTCATGCCCCTGTTTTGGCAAAACAACGTCATAAACTATTACCCGCTGCCCTGTTGTTTCAACTGATGTAACAACACATGCCAGACACTGGTGCTCTTAACCAAGTCGATGATTTATCTTTCCATGGAAAAGAAAGTTGTTTGGCTCAACTGGTTGCAACTCTGTGTGCTTTAAAAGAGAAGCTAAGGAACGACCAAGTGAAAACTAGAAAAAAGCTGCAACCAACGAACAGATGGCGGAATAGCACAACAAAAATCACATTTCACTGGGACCTTTCATCAGATATATTTTGATAAATGTCGAAAAAACTTTTTCTACATACTTACTTACTTCACTTTTTCCTGTTGTTTCAGGTACTAGATGAAGCTATAACCACAGAAAGATTTCAACCTGTCCTCTTTCCTAAGGTAACAATGACTTTGTTGAAGAGAAGCCTTTTTAATAAGTGGACTTAATTCAGGGAATCTGGTATGTGCTATGTTGCTCTCGCTTCAATTAAAAAACTCCACAAAATGAACCATGTTGTTCTTTTCCCATTAAACTCTGGAAGAAACAGATAATCAAATATCTCTAGGATTGGATGGTTAATTCCTATATTTACCTCTCATCACTAGGCCTCTGAACTCATTGTGACTTACGATGAACACATGTGTGTGAAGAACTTCAAGTTTGGAGTCATCTACGAGAGATACGGGCAGACGACGGAAGAAGAGCTCTTTGGCAACGTTAACAGCAGCGCAGCCTTCAACGAGTTCCTTGAGGTCATCGGGGACAAAATAGAGCTGAAGAATTTCACAGGGTAAGAGGACTGAAGTAGTGTACAAGTGGAAACTGAAATAAAACTGCAAGGGCAGATTCTGAGTTATGAGCGGCAATGTGATCTGATTAGAAGGATTTTGATTGCTGTCCAGGAAGTTAAGTATTGAAATGCAAACCTGGTTTGATGCTAAGTCACAGAGACTGAAGCGGAAGTTTGTGACCTTGCAATTAGATAACAATGTCTGTCAGAGGAATAAAATTTGCAGCACAGCTGCAAATTTTATTCCTCTGACAGAAGGTTGAAGTTTGCTGGAGTCCCGTTTGTAAGAATGTGTTGCGTTGGAACTGCTGGTTTCACTTGACGGAATCATAAAAGAACTTGCTTTGACAACCTTCCTGCCTGTTCTTTAGAGGGAGATCTATAGTCGAGAGTTCATTTATCAGAGAAGATGAACGGGAAACCATTCGGCATATTTGTCCTGTTGCTTGCAGCATGAAAAAATACTGGTTCTGAGAACATGGCAAAGAGTTCATTCTGAATTCAATTTTTGTTTGTGTGTAGATTTCGGGGAGGTCTTGACGTTCAACATGGACAGACTGGTTCACATTCCATCTATACAGAACACCTTGGCAGGGAAATTATGTTTCACGTGTCCACATTGTTGCCACACACCGAAGGTGACAAGCAACAGGTAAAGATGAATTGTTCATTAATTTCTTCAAACAGGAACAAGGAGTAAGGTTGACAAGATAAACTGGGTTTTGGGGGGGTCACATGCAAATTTTTTAATCGCTGTGAGGAATTAGTGCACTTACTGCAGCAAAATACGGAAGTATTTAATTTGTCGTGTGAAATTAGATGAGATCATGTGTCGGTAACCTGATCAATATGTTCCAGGAATCTTCAGGGGAAAATGCCTTCATGAGTTCATCAAGCTCAAAAATGTCCGCATGATGACATAATGTGTTTTAGATCTGTCATATCCAATAAGAAACTCAAAATTGGGGGCAAATTTGGAATTCCATATGTATGGTGATGATGCAAGGATGCTCATCTTCCCCTTGCAGTTGCAGCGGAAAAGACACATAGGTAACGACATCGTGGCCATTGTTTTCCAAGAGGAGAACACGCCGTTTGTTCCTGACATGATCGCTTCCAACTTCCTCCATTCCTTCATTGTGGTGCAAGCAATTGAGCCAAATACGGAGAACACCAGATACAAGGTGGGTTAGACACCTGCACTGCTTATATTTTTCCAGCTTTGTAGACTTTCTAATTTCTCAGATTAGAAACAACTCATTTCAAAACTGTCAAGTTGTCTGTTTTTTTCTTTGAACTAGCAGTTAACAGAGATGCAGCCATAGCTCCGCATTACCTTATATTTTTAGCTTCTCTGTTATCCGACTTTCTCAGGACAAACACAGCATTTGTTCACTTGTCATATGAACCAATTTTTTGTACAGCTACACTGCCCACCAAAAAGATACATTTGCACCTGTGCATGGCTCAGGATAAGGTTTACATAAATTTGAATCTTTCTCAAGCCAAACACAGCATTTGCTTTTAACATCAAGTTGACCGGATCTCCCCAAACCACAGACAACGCAGTGAATCCATAGACATTTAGTCTCTATCTGTCAAGAGACTATTTAACTAAATTTCACTTACCACAGGTTGCAGTAACAGCGAGGGATGACGTTCCATTCTATGGTCCAGCCCTCCCGAGTCCGTCTGTTTTTAAAAAGGGTCCAGAGTTCAGAGAATTTCTGCTGACAAAACTCCTGAATGCAGAAAATGCTTGCTACAAGGCTGATAAATTCAGCACCATTCAGGTGAGTTAAAACGAAAAAAATTCTTCATCTCTGCTTTCCATTTTGACAGGAGGCTTTAGTTTGAGCAGGTACGTTTAATGGGGAAAAAAAAAACTTTTTTTGTCAGGAGGAATGACTTTTTGAGTCCATTTTTACCCCATCCAGGAGAGAACAAGGGCTGCTTTGCTAGATTCCCTGTACTCGGAGCTCAACAGCAAGAACGAGGAAATCTTCTGCTCCATCACCTGCCTGGACTCCTCCACCAGCCCCAGCATCCTGAGCAAGGGAGACGGTAGCCCCGGTGGCCTCTGGCCTTCCTTCAAGAAAGCCTTCAGAGGACGCAGCCAGTCGGTGGACACAAGCACCAGCCCTATGCACAACAAGGTCAATGGGAACATGATGTTTGCCGCCGACATTCCGGAGGAAGGGGAAGCAACTAGTCCAGTAGTAAGTACAGGACAGTTTCCTTCTTGTTTTCTTCGACAGATCCTTCGGATTTTCTTACTGACCACTGACCACCTTTTTCCGCACTCTTTGCCACTCGCATAACTACAATGCTACAAAGCACTCCTCTCTCTAAATACCTGCTCACAATGTGATAAGCTACAGTGCAACCTTTGTACCACTCAGCTGCCACAGTAGGGAAACTAGAGATTAGATTATGTCTTCTAGAAATACCCTTTGCTATCTCCTATTAAAACAACCAGGGAGGTTCCTTCTCAGCGTAAGTTGAGATGGAAAAAAATCAGTACATGCTTCTTGTGAAAGCAAAAGTTGCTTTAGTTTCATGATTTCAAAACTAAGTTCCTGTGATGGTTACTATTGACCGACCAAACTTTATTTTGTTTGGGCAACAAAAAGCATCAAGTACTAACTTAGACTTGAGCTTATATAAGTAAGTCAAAATTTATTGCCAAGGGATGTATAACGAAACAGTACATATTAGAAAATGGAATGATATGTAGTAGAGAAAGCAATGTGTTGTATCAACTATTACTCCACCCATGGCGTGTGTACCAGCAATACCCATTTAAAACTTCTTCAGGCTAGATATTATATTTATAATGGCACCTGTTGGTTGTTAGCGCTAATGGATGGAGTCATCCAGCCACCTGATGTTTCATCTTTTAAGTCCAGACTTTGCCTTGGGTCATATCAGTAATGGTGAAGAAAGTTACAGCAAATTCCCAACTGAGGCATCTCCCAGCTTAGGATTGCCTCGAGACGAGCTTATCACCTGCAGGAAACTACCCTGAGGAGTTCAGTGGTTTTTAGGGGTAATATTTACGACCACAGATGGGAACACTGTTTCACAATTTTACCGTTTGCACCATTAATCTCACAACACATTAAGAGGAGCTTTCCAGGTTTGGTGTAGAGTTCCACTTGAAAACAAAATAATCCCAGAAGTCGCAGCAATATCAAAATCCTATTTTAGAGGCTGTTTACTTGTTTGGTAATATTGGAGTTGTTTGTCTCACGCAGCAGCCTAAGGGAAACAGAAGCCTGAGGCTGAGCACAAGAAGTACAAGCAGCAACCAGAGCTACGGGAGTAGTGTTGGAGACAAGAAAGAGCCCAAGAGAAAAAGGTAGCTATCTTCCCCTGGTTACATTTGCACTTGGGTTCTAATTTTTGTGTTCAGTAGTAGAGAGAATATACTTTTATGTCTTGATTTAGTTGATAAATTTATTGATATGATTGGTCGATTTTGTGTTTGGTTGGTCTGTTACATGCTCTTTTGATTGCTTGGTTGAGTTTATTTGATTCGGTAATTTGTTCTAAGTGTTCACTAACTTATACTTTTGATTGATAGAATTTTGGAAGTTGGTAACTTAGATATGATGTGTAAATGTGTGCTTTCTGAGTGAGTTTGTTTTTATCAGATCTCTTTGTCTCTCACTCATATTCTTTGTGTTTTTGTAATTGCCTCTGCAGAGACAGCGTGCTCAGTCGGTCCTCACATTCCTCCGAGAGCATCAATGGTAGTCAAGAATCACACAAGTCCTCCTCCAACTCTCTGAACAGCTCACCCGATGTTGCCAATTCGAGAATGAGGTGGGTTCTCAAAACCCATTAGTGGGTGCTTCCCTTCGTGCTCTAGACCTTGGCCACTGCTGCTTGTGGTTCATTCCTAGCCACAATGATGCAGAAACCTGACTCCTATGATATTCTTCAATTCACTGAGAAAGAGCATTTGTCTGATGCTTGTGTCAAATTGTTAGAATGGAAGTTTGCTTGTTCGAGTATCAGCTTTTAAAATGAAGTTTTTTGATTTAAGATTTGTTTTCAAGATTGGTCTTCCATGGTATTGCATTTGATGATGAAATAAATCCACCAAAAGTTATCCACCATTTTTGGTCATGTCCGAAACACCAGTATTTTAAAGGTAGCAAACTTGTGCTCACATCACTTGCCAATTAAGTTTGGGGAAGTAGGCAAATTGTATTCTCAACTTTTGCATCCTTCCATCTTTCTTCCCTCGGCAGAATTTACACATGCCGAGTGTCGCCAAGCAACTCCCTTGACAGCTTCAACAGTGACGACGAGCCACATGAACATGAAGATTCTGACACGGGCATGGTAAGATTGCCATTGGTTTTGGTTGCAAACTCGTATTCAGATTCATTTTTTAGACTGCTCAAAGAGCAGTACATATATCCTGCCTGCATTCACTTTAAGTTCAGTGTGGACACCTTGCGGTAGATGCATTACCCACCAGGTTAGGTTAATGGCTTACTGGCAAACTCTTGAGGGATGTCAGATGAAAAGAATTACAGGACACTTGACCCTGAGAGTTGGCAGCCCTTCAACTGGAGGACTGAAGACTATTGAGGGTTAATCGCCAACATTTCACTTTCACACGCTCGTTAAACTTATTCTTTTACAGTCACATACCTACAGTGAAAAAAATAAGGCCTCTACTAGTAATTTAAGCCATTGTGTCTGCACGAGGAGATCCCATGAGTTGTCCTGCATGATTGACCTGGAATGTGACTCTGCAGCCCCCATGAGATAAACAAGCTGAAAAATACATGTGCTTGTTCTGAGTTCATTTTGCTTTTTTTTTGGCCCCTTTCTTTTCCAGGGAAGTATGTCATCTGGTTGCATTTCCAGCAGTAAGGCTAGCCCTCTCAATCCTTGCCTGTGTCCCGAGGGGAAGTGCACCTCAGCTCTGGAAATAGAAAGTGAGTCTGAAGCATGTCATGTTACTGCTGGAGATATGAAATTCTAGTTCCCCATTCTTGGGCCTGAGAAGCAGTTTTGTGTTGATTTTCTGATGAGAGCTGAATATTTCACCTGAATACTGACGATTCTTGACACTTGTTCTAATGCACCTTGCAGGTGCATTATCTGAACAGTTTGCAAGTTTTCAAGGAGCAAAAGTCCATTCACAGATATTTTATGCCAACAGTAATCACTTTTTGGAACTTCAAAATTTGGAACTTCAATTTTCACTTTTTTTTTTTGCAGCAACTTTGTCACAGCAGCTGGAATTAATGAGGTCAGAAATCAATAAGTTAAAAGCTGAGAAACTTGATCTCATCAGAACAAATGTGGTACGTATGCCATTTTCACTTTAATCTCTGGTTTCTGACAAAGCCCTTTTGCCCATACAATTCAATAAATGCTGCAGTACTCTGATCTTTTGAGGAAAAAAACTTGGTCGGGTGGTACTTGGTCCCATAACTTCCTAGTCACTGGTGCAAATGTCTTATCCTCTTGACCAAATATTGAGCTTGTACCAATAAACAAGTAGCAACAGTTTCTACGGTCAAGTGTTCTAGGGTTGACTCTTGTATTAGTCACTCTTCACTAAGAAACAGGAAATTCTGTAGTTTCTGTCTTCGGGTAGTCTCAATTCAAATCTTTGTTCATACTTCTATGCACCGGTCAGAAGCGGATGTCTTTTTTCATCCATCTCCTTGGACGTACACTGAATCAGTACCAATATTTATGTAGCTCATAGAGACAATGCTGCCAATTCTCAAACTGTTGCGAGAGTGTCACCAGAAGAAATGTCTGATGATCTGTGCTACTGTTTTTCAATGTAGAGCTGGCAACATGATATCAAGAAGTTAAAAGAGAAGGAGATGCGACACGTGCAGGAACTCTCAGCTGCGCAGAAGGAGATCCACAAGCTTCGAGAGGCCAAGGAAATGCAGAAGGCAGAGTACATTGAAGCCTTGTCCAGTGTCTAAAACCACCGACTGGTTGGCCATTGCCCTACCAATCAGCTGCCTAGTTGCTCACCTCAGACTCCATCTGTGGTCTGCTTGGTGAGTGTCGGTCTCATCAGCCAGGGGCTATAGTGAGTTTCCAGCCCAGACAGGCAGGCATTGTTCCGATATTAAGCACTTGAGGAGATCTTCCCAATTGATCGTGAACAATTTTTGATCGGTCAGTTGAGTGGCATGAGCAGAACTAGACCTTGCTAAATGGTGTCTGGAAGCTAAGTTACATGCGCATCTGTAAAGAGGTCTGTGTAATGCTGAGCACAGCCCACATGAATAGGATTAGAAAGGAACCTGTTGACAAAGCACCAGCTTTGGGGAGACACTGCTATTGGACAATCTGAATATTAATTAAGAAAGAGTACTTTAAAAATTTGCTAAGGGAGTAATTAAGTCTCTGAGCCTGGTTATACAAAATGTGAGGATATTTTACCAAGCAGCTAGAGCAAGTAAGAATACCCAAAAAAAATACAGAATGGGTAAAGAGATCCAGCACTGTTTGTACAATGAATACTTGAGTTTTTATGTACACAACAAAATTTAAACCTTAAATATTCAAAATGAAGTACTGACGTGAAAGATTTGTAACTAAAATCTTGCTCTATCCTTGCAGTTGGTGTACAGTACGGAATTTAGAAGGCATTGTTTGTAAGCAGTAGTTTACTGAATTGTTGTGAAGAAAACCTTTACCCCTGACAGAGTAACTCACAGAGCAAGCTCCTGATGGTGACCTCATGCATGTCTTTCTCAAGAGTTTGGCATTGTGGTACTGCATCTATAGGAAGCAATTACACATGTAGCTGATGGCTAATCCACGTCTCATTGACATGTGTTCGCTGCTGCGAGGCAGTTGTGATTCCGCTGCATCGTCCTTTTCAGCTAGTTTTCAAATATCCAGCTCATTCAATCCATCCATCCACAACGCAGGTTGATCTCATTGATCAAATTCAGCAAATATTTCCTTGTGGGGTAACTTCTTCTCTGTGGTATTTGCTCCGAGTTGAAGTCCACCCTCAGTGTCAGTGTTATGTTAAACACGCCCTCTCTTGCTCCTGCTGGAGTGGACGGAAGGTCAAAACGAGCAGTTACAGACTCCAACTTTCTCACAGGCTGTTCAAACTTCTCCCGTGAGAGGTGTATTCTGATGTTAATTCCCAAGCTGCCAATAGGTGTATTTACCTTGGTGGGGGGGGTCCAAAAGCACTATTTTTAACTGATTTTTTGGTTGCATTGAATTATATCCATTCTCTTCCTCTCCTGTAAATAAGTCTGACTCTGTCGGGCCTGTATAAAAACGCAGTGATGAAAACATTCGCTGAAAATGTGTAATATATCTGTATTTATTACAATAAGGAAGTAAGTACTAGTTTTATGTTATTGATTAAACCTATGTTCTTAAGTTAAGGAAGAGTGCAAGGTTGAGCCAGAAATAACAATAAGTGTCAGGTTAATAATGCTTTGTTGCCACCTGCAATTGAAAGATAAAGACATAAAATTAATTAAAGACGAAATGGAGTTGAGGACGTTCCATTCGTTGTCTTAGGGGTGTTTTCGGGTTACCGTTGCAAACAGTATCAAAAAATCTGAAAGATTTAGATTATCGTGAAATGAAAAAATTCTGTTATTGTACTGCATGCAAACCTAAAGTTGCACTGTTTTAATGAGCTTATCTTGCCTGTGAGTAGTAATACCCACGTAATGAATTTATGACTAGTTGTATCTGATCCCTTATTGCTTCGAAATCCGAAGAATTTCCAGACAGCCCTTGCCCACTGAAAATCTCTGCAAAGTGTTTTATGGAAGTGAATAAACTTACCCGAAATTTATCGCTGGCTGGTGATGTTTTGGAAATTCTAAGTGTACATCTAATTAAGCGCATATTTTATAATGATTGTGTACTTTTTTGGAACGCATGCACGTTACCTTAAGAATATACATGTACATGATGGAGAGCTGCACGTGGCAAATCGATGGATGCCAAATTGTGAGACTCAAAATGACGGTTTGAGCTGAGTTGGGTCAGAGATTGATTTCTGAAAGTTGTCGAAATGACACTCCAATGATACATCCTCACTCAGGTGAATGTAGTACTTGAATGCAATGGCAATTCGAGATTCTTTGTGTTCATTTTCATATTGTGTTTTGCCTGTAAAAACAAGTGATGACGACGTTATCATGTACGATCTTTACCACCGTCACCATTACTTCTATTGGCAAAACCCCTTCTATTTAACCCAGATGCCGCTATTTTTGAAAGACAAAACCAGACGAGAGGTGAAAAAGAAAATAAAGTAAATTGAAATGAACTATTTTAAGACACGTTACAATGCAAAATGCGCGTAATAAATGTGGAAAGTAAAAACTGTTTATATAAGGAATAGTAAGTATAAATTCTTCATGCGTGAATCAATACGCATAATGTAAGTAGGTTTGAAGTACATTGTACGTGTGATAAATGTATAATCCAGGGTGTTTAATTTGCTTTTTTCAACAAATGGCTTGTAAATATTTCTTGGATATATCGACAGGTGGAGAGTTGTGTGTGTAAATACCAAATGTACAAAAATGAGTTGCTTGAAAGGATTGTTATTAGAATATACTGCAAATTTATCTTTTTAATGAAAGACGTTTTCTTGTGAAGTGAAGAAATTAATACATGTACCTAGGATTTAACCGAGTTGAAGAAAAGTCTCCTTGTGACTACGAATGTTCTATTGAAAATGTTGACAGTGCCATGACAATTGCTATACAGAAATGGTGGCTCTTCTCAGAGCTTTTCTCAGCAAGTACTCAATAAGGGATGTTTTACGATACTTGTTTCATAAATCGATGTACCGACTGATTATTTTGCACCTTTTATTACCAGTGTCGCGTAAAGCAAGCCTGTCCTAACTGTGACCATGCCTTAAGAAATTTTGAGATGTAATAATTATATATGTCTGGAAAATTCTGGGGTAAAGTTCCTTTATGTGGAAGGCGGATTTAATCAATCTGGGTTTTGTTTGATGAAACGTCTTCGTTTTTTTCATGGTACATGTGGTATGCTCCTTGTAGTAGAGTGGTGTGCTTATTGAAAAATCTGCAAAAAGCGATCCACAACACGAAGAAGATTTTTTCCCCTAGATTTGTCTCATTTTTTCCTCTTTCACCTTTCGCAACTGTAAACATCCCACATTTTACCCTTTTGTTTTACCCTAGAATGTTTTTCTCAGCTATTTAAATCGTCTCGGGAAGGTTCTTAGTTCCTGTTCCAGTAGATCAGTAGACCCCATTATTCTGCAGAAAACATTTATTTCGTTACATATCCGATTCCCTTGCACTACTATATTGGTGATGATTTTATTTGTCTTCTTTTAATTTCAGACAGGTTCCTAATTTGCTGTGTTTTGTAAGTGTACATGTATGATGTACTTTTAGTTTAAAAAATCTTGCGTAATACAGCAAACGAAAGAGTAACAATCAAGTTTCAGAATTGCCGAAAAAAATAAATGAAGCAAAGAAACTGTAGATGATGTTGACGAATATTTTTTTAAGAGTGATGATTGAAAATATCAGTTATTATTTGAAGCGCAACACATAATTAGCACTACACAGAGAAAGCGGTACTTAACAATCGTCTTCAGAATGAGGTTGCTTAAAGCGTTGATTTACACGAAAGGGAGAATCTCTCACGATAAAAATGAACTAGGATTGGCAACTTTTTAGACGAATATCGTCAATCTCCTTTTAGGATTCCCTTCTGAGTGATACATCATGAATACGAGCTCAGTTTGTTCTTTCTAATGCAAACCAAAACAGCGAATAACTGGGAAGCTGGCAATTTTGTGGAATTCGGTGGCAATTAAAAAAAAATACATCGCCTCAATGGTCGTGTCTGCGATAACATTCCCTTTGAGGTTGATAGGGTAAAGCAGGTTAACATTCATCTTGTTTTTATTATCATGACAAGAACTAAAGTGGTAGCTCAGACACTTTGAGGTGTAGTTTGTTATGCCATCATCATAGCAACATACCATGGCAACACAACCCCAAGGTCAGGTGAGGGTTACGCAAAAGGGCACTTCGCACGCTCTCAGACATTGACTGGCGGTATTTAGGGGAAAAGATCAGAAATGGCAGATACTCTGCCACATAAACAAACAAAAAAAACAAAACAAAAATGGTTATGGACGTATTTAAACTGCCTCAAATGACAAGGAGATACAACCGTCTTATTACAGATTGTCTGTATTTTTTATATATTCTTACTGACTGCAACTAGGAACCATGCCGCGACCTCTGAGTACACTGTGCATACTGAATGTTCATCGAACAAGTCCAACATGTTAACACACCCAAAAGGATCATTGTACTAGAACGGGAAAGCTAGCGTTTTGAACCATGTATAGGCTTTCTGCCCATAAGCCATTTACATTTGAGCTGCAAAGTGCTCAACATCAGATTCGATCTATACACTATGCTAAAAGGTTAGATTTGACATTACTTTTAACATATCTCACTGGGTTTTTTTATAATGGACAAACGGCCTCCGCCAAAACAATGTCAGTTACACACTTATACGACCTGAAAGCTTGCATGTTTTCCCGAACACATCACCACTGAATGGGAAGATGAACAGTATACAAATTTTCCAGACCAATCCGCAAAATAATGTCAACTGGCTGCTTTTGTACCTTTAGCGTCCTGGAAACGAGGTTAGGTGAAGACGGTGCCATGGCAACCTGTTCAAGGGATGACCCAAGGAACTCTGAGACAGTACCCTTGCCATGACAGAGCTACACCAGCTGGTAACAGGTGCTCGACACATTACCAAGACCAGAATACACCAATCACAATTAGCTCACAAGCTAAGTCAGTGTTACGCTCTTTACAAAATAACGTACATTTTGACAAGAGTTATTTAAAATGGCAAATGGGAATATTTGGGTTGACAAGACAAAAATGTATTGTATTACACTTTGACAGGCATCATATGCAAAACCTTCAGTTCTGACACCCAAGTCAAACAAAATGTAAAACAAACGACATTGATGGATTTGCTTTTCTTAAATTAATGTGTAGAATAGAGCAAAAGCAAACTTGCAATTGTGGTAATTGTTTTGTAAAATAATATTTTTCATTTTTTACAAAGTTTGTTTCAAAAGTTCATGCTCAACAGCATCCATTCAATATTCATTTTTCATTTATTTAACCTTAGTCATGATAGACAAAAACATGTCAGACTATAAATTTCATTTCGTTATAGCAAAATGGAAATCTATAACCCAAGCATGCAAATGTTCTTTTGTTTGTGTTTTTAAAGTCAGTTCATGAAATGTATCAGCGAACGTATATTACAAAGAGTTGTAAGTACGAAGGGCCTCGATCATCGCTAGCACAAATAACAGGTAAATCTGCTTTCTCACTTGTTTTTCATTTTAAAGCTGCATGAATAGTGTTGCAATTACAAAAATAAACGTCAGATTTGCTTTTCCCGTGGCTACTGAAGCAGAAACATCTCTATTTCATTTGTGTAAATATGACTGAATTTTTTTTCTCAAAAATCCACAGATCACCACAACTGTATAAGCTCAAATAAACAACTTGAATTGAGCAATCACGTACATATTTTAGAAAAACAATCTTTCTGTGTATTATCTTGAAGACGAGCTCTAAAGAAACGCCGAAGCTGTGAAATGTTTGATTAGGTTTAAAGACCAATTATGATTGAACAAAATACTCTCGATAAAAGCACGATGAGAAATATATTCTGACTACAAGGCAAAGTGTGGCTATACACAATAAATTAGGCATGTACAGTGTATTAACAGGACAGCCCTGGTACCCTCGCCTCCAGATTTTAAAACCATTCAAAAACACACAATATTTGCTATTTTTCTGTGCCACATTATTTTGAAATCTTTTAAAATCCATACAATGTGTGTGCATATCATGGTAACAGGTGTATATATGAAAGTTAGGTAAAACAACCAAAATCTTGTCCTCAACAATTTGCCATTAATGTAAGTTCAAGCAGGAAAACACAAATAGCAATATTATGTGCAGTGTAATATCAGTTCCCTCCCCAGAATCACCCTAGCTCAAGTCAGTAACTGATAGCTTATTTCCAGAGTTGTTCCAACACGAAGGAATCACCTTCCCCTTTAAGCAACTACAGTCGCTTAAACTTTATCTAACTGAATAAACTCATTCGAAGCACAATTAACAGTGCCATTCATCCTTTCACTTTGCCTTTCTTGTTGATCCCTGCTCATCAACGCGTCCGTCGCCGCGGTCCACTCAAACCTTTTCATGTGCCTAATCTTGAAGAACAATATGACGACGATGACCAGACAAAGAATGGAAGGGGGAACAGTAACGGCAAAGGCAATAGCCCAGTTCGGCGAGGGTTGTTTGCTCTCTTCCGATGGCTTGGTGGGGGTTAACTCTGTGGGCTCATAGGTATCACTAGTGGAAACGCCTGGGAGAGGAGACGACGTGGTTAACTCTGTCCTCCGCTCAGTCGGGACAGTGGTCAAGATAGCCTTTTCTGAACTCTTCACATTCCACGATTCAGTTGGGACTGACTGAGATGTGGAGGAGGCAGGTGTGCTGGGTGCGGTGACAGGAGTCTTTGATTCAGTTGGGATCATAGTTTCAGTTGTGTGGAAGTGAACAGTTGGCATGTTCCCAAAGGTACTAACTCCATGTTCAGTCGAAGTTTGACCTGTGGATGGGACTGTGATTTGTGTGGTCTTCACTGTTATCGCTTCAGTTGACGTCATACCAGCGGTGGTGGGCACCACTGGTAACGTCGACTTACCAGTGCTAAGTCCAGTCGAGATACCTTCAGTCTCAGAAGGGAGCACGATTGGCGTAGTCTCTGTTATCCTCTGTTCAGTCGGAACGATTTGATTTGTTGACTGGCGTGCTCTTGAAGGGGTCTCTACAGTAGTTCTTTTAGTCGGGATAAGTTCTAATGTAGAGGACAGCAGAGTTCCTGTCATCTGCTCAGTCCTGTCTTCAGTCGACAGAGCGTCAGTTACTGAAGGGAGCAGGATTTGCGTAGACTTTGCGGTTCTCTGTTTGATTGTGATTATTTCAGTGGTTGAAGAGGATGGTCTTAATGTAGTCTTTAAAGTCATCGTTTCAGTTGGAGGAGGCTCGTACGTAGAGGAACTTAGAGTTGCTGTGATCTGCTCAGTCCTCGGTTCAATCCGTATAGTTTCAGTTTCAGAAGTGGGTACGACTGGCCAAATTCTGACAGTCCTCAGTTCAGTTGGGACACTTTCAGTCGTGGACAAGAGTGATTCTGGTGTTGTCTTTACAGTAACTGCTTCGTCCCGGAAAGATTCTGACATAGAGGAAGGCTTAGTCGCGATGATGTGCTCAGTCCTCTCTTCATTCGTGAAAGTGTTAGTCCCAGAAGGAAGTACGGTTGAAGTAATCTTCACCGTCCTCTGTTCGGTGGGGACAACGTCAATTGTACATGGGGATGCCCTTGGCGTAGTCTGTAAAATGTGTGTTTCAGTCTGGGTAGGTTCTGTCGTGGAGGAAAGCGGAGTTGTTGTGATCTGTTCAGTTCTTGGTTCTATCGGGATAGTTTCCGTCACAAGAGGGAGTTCGATCTGCGTGGTTTTCACGGTACTTTGTTCGGTTGGGACAATTTCAGTCGAGGACAGGGTTGATCCTGATATAGTCGTCACATTCAGTGCATCCATTGGGACAGATTCTGACTCAGGGGAAAGCAGAGTTGCGGTTATCTGCTCCGTCCTTTCTCCCGTCGGGGTAGATTCAGTCTTGAATTGGGTTACGCCTGGGGAAGTCCCAACAGTCCCCTGTTCGGAAGGAACAAATTCAGTTGTTGACGGGGGTACTCTCATTGTAGTCTTTACAATCCTTGCTTCAGTCGGGACAACTTCTGATGTAGAGGGAGACAAAGTGGCTGTGACCTGCTCAGCCCCCTCTTCAGTCCAGATGGCACCAGTCGCAGACTGGAGCACGATTTGCGAAGTCTCCGCGGTCCTCTGTTCATTTGGGACTTTTTCAGTTGGTGACGAGGATGCTCTATGTGTCTGAATAGGAGAAGATTTAGTGGATAACATTGTTGTTGTGGTATGAACCGTTTGCCGTGCAGTCAGGAAAGTTTCAGCTGGGATAGTTTCAGTATTGGAGGGAGGTGTGATGGGTGTATTCAAAACTGAGGTGGACTTGAGGTTTGACATTAGGGTAGTCAGATTAAACATGAAGACAGGAGATACGGTCATCGTACCTTCGGATTTGGAATAGCCACCACTTGCCGATGTGGTAAAGGGGTCGCCATCGGACACTCCTCTAATTGTGTTCAAGTCAGACCGGCTGGTTGTTTGCGGTAGATTCCGCTCATTTGAGGTATCGTCACTTTGTGTACCCCCAAAAGTAAACATGTCTTTAGCAGATGGGTCTGATACTGTCACTGCAGGACTATTAGATCTAGTAAATGTAACAGAGTTATCGGTTGAGGCAGAACCTATAGTCAGACTTACCTCCGATGAGTTGGCTACACTGTCATTGGTATGGCTTAACGAAGGAAAAGTGGTTGAAGACTCCAAGGCTGGAGTGGCAGATTCTGAGACGGATTGTGAGAAATACGTTTGGGGTGTAGTCGGCAGTGGTCTCTCTTCAACGCGGATGGGACCGATTGTACAATTTCTTCGTTCGCCCGGATACCTCGAGCTGGCGATTTCACAACTGAAAGCAAACTCTCCTCGAAAAGCGTCAGCAGTCCAGTATGCACGTTTTGTGATGTTATCATCAGTATCAGTTTTCGACCAGATCATGGTTGGATCAAGGTCTGAAGAAGAGATGACTAGGTCTACGGTAGGATTTCCTTCGTCTGTCCAGCAAGCCAGTGTGGTTCCTTCGCCGAAATAAATAGTCACTGGTCCACCTGGCTCGCACGTTGGATTCCCATCTCCTGGAAAGAAATAAACTGTGAGAAATGCTTGTTTAGCAGTGATTTCAGGGGTTTCCACACCTGGTCGCCGTACTGAGCACACGTATGTCCCACTGTCTCCATCACGAACGTTTGAAACGGTCAAGACGAGAGCACCATCCCAGGACGAATCACTTGTGCTTAACAGTTCTTGTGTAACAGCAATCCGACCACGCGTTGTTAAATCTTGCAAGTCATACTGCCAGGTGAAGGTGTCTCCGTGCATCAAACCACTGACCTGGCATCTCATCGTGACATTGTCGCCTCTCTCAACTTCCACGTTACCGTATCCTGCATCTATACCGTTCACTACAACAATCTCGATTTCAACACCAGACAATCCCAACAGGAGGAAAGGGAAAGCGCACAAGGAAATCGCCAACGATCTGCACTGGAACAACTCCATGTTATTCGAAGATAGAATCAGCCGAACGGGAGGAGACACAGACGGTTTTTATAACGCATTTTATTATCGACTGGGAATCCCAATGTTTACAACAAGATCACTTGATGAGTACAACATGTTACCCCTCATCAGCACGAGCTCAAACACTGTCTCTATATTATGACAACATTAGTGACATTTTTACGGGGAGTCCCCGTACGTTTCCCAAGACAGTTTGCAACGAAGATCGCAAGGTGGTGACGACGGGGTCAGCCGTGACGCACTTAGCATAATCCGCCGAGGAGGTAGACTTATAAAAGCTCAAGTTTGTGACTGCATGAGTTCAAGCATTTCTCCATGGTTCAAGTCATTAAAGGGGGCATTGCGCCTAAAGAGGGGGGGGATACAGGTCTAGGAAAGGATCCTTACCATACGCAATTGATACACTACTTAGATAAAGCGAGCTCCGACGATTTCGAGAAAAATTACAGGTACGTTCAAACATTTTGCCAGTCACATTTTTAAACAGGAAATTGAATTCACGCATGTGCCTTACGGGGAAAAAATAAATGCCCTGAGTGTAAAGAAATACCAACTGGACCTCGGTCTTCGAGCTCGGTCATTCAGGTTTTACATTTGGGTTTTGGAGTCAGTTTATTTTTTACAAAGAGCTTTCAAGGCATAACTCGAAACACGTAAAATAATGTAAACAAAATCAAAACCCACTCAGATCATGCATCTGTTTCTGTTTGACAACAGAAAGGATTTTTTCCCACGACAGAGCGTCGTGACTGTGAGAACACAAAACAACAGTCTAAACGATTAGTGTCAACTCCATGTAAGCACAATCATAACATTAGAAACACTTTGAAAAACCAATATGGTCATAGTGCTGACTTTAGTTTCAAGGTTATACGCCTTGAGCGGAAGCACCCTCTCTTCGGTTGAAAAGAGCCACTTTAGTCGGGATTGTTCATTTTGATGTTAGTAACTGGACCGTAACGCGTGCATTTCATAGTCGTTTGTGAACCAACGAAGTGCAGTTCCTACCAAAGGAGCCTCTGTTGCGAGGAAAATCGCGCCCTCTCTTGGTTCAGCTCGGGGCTCATTGGGCACTTGACTGGTTTCACCTGGAAGTTATTGAGTACTGATTTGCAGTTTCATTAATCAAGTTCACATAATAATTTCAATGCATTTCTTCTGACTTCCAGGGAGGGGTTTCTTATCTAAGACCCTGAACAAGATTGACTAATCACACACAGTGATCGACACATCGCTAAAATCTGTTTTGTAGCCAACTCTTTTCTGTATGTGTACGCACATGAGGAGAAAGTAGACCCTATTTACGTTCACAATGTCCTCTACATAATTACACTTCGCGGGAGAAATTTACAAGAAATTCCTTGGTTGGCGGTTCTTAAGTGGGTGCGGTTTGTTGTCTTAGCTGTCTCAGTGCAGAAAAATGTCCAGAAACCATGACTAGTGCTCAGTCGAACTGCGCTATCTTCGCTCTCAGCTTAAATTTTACTCTCTGACAGCAATAACCGCGCGAGCACCCTGTTTACCAAAACAGTCGGAGACTGACATGATAACTTTGTCAGGGAAAACGGAGAGGATAAAGCGATAGGTTACTTCACATTCGAGTGTCTTTGAAGTGTATCTGGTTTTATTTTTTCTCGTTGTTGCAATGATGATGACGGATTACTTGAAATACGCGAAGTTTCGATTAGACCTGAGAAGCAATTACGCAGGAATTTGAAAAAGAAACATAAAGAATGTATTTAGGCATACAAAAGTAAAACCACTGTGATTGGACAAAAATTAGCATAACATGACTAACTTTTCGACAAATTAATATCAACTGGAAAGATCTAGTAAGATCGACTGGTTTTCAGCAACACTCAGCTGAAATATTACTGACTGCTAGATCAGTAAAATTTAAAGTAGTCAAATCCCACAAACGCGTTTTCAGGAATGAGCAGTCCGACCTATGAGGAAAGCACTTCATTGGCAAAAACATTAAACCACACTTAAAACACTTCCTAGTCACCCCCCGCTCCGTTTTGGCTTGACGTCTAACGCGCGCACTGATACCAACTTTACATCTTCAGTTTATGATAACAACGATTTCCATTTTGAATGCTTGTACCCTGAAAAGAAAATTCTCTCTTAAAAGGACATGCTACAGTCTCATCCCTCACAGAATGTAATAACAACAATCTCACTCAACCACGACCTTTGTTTCGAGGAATCAACAACATACTGAAGTCTCTCGCCTCGACAAGCCAGGAGGGCAACCGTTCCGACAAAGAGGGCGCCATTTCGTCTCTTCATTCAGGGTGCACTACAAAAACTGTGGTGTTAAAGTCAACACGTTTTGGTACTATCAGATGACCACACCATAGAGTGTTACTTTAACACCACTGATTTCACTTTGCACACAATACGCTGAAGGGTGTTAAAGGTAACACCAAACAAAAACCAAAATTTTAACACCAGTTAAAAGTGTTGGTGTAGTCTTCTTATAACACAGGGGGTGTTAAATTTTAACACCCCAGTTTTTGCGATGTGGTTTTCACCCAAATTTAATCCCGACCATCGCACTGACTCAAAGTTTTCTTTTACTCGGGGGTCTATCAGTTTGCAGCGCTTCCAGAAAACTTGACATATATGATGTGAAAAAGAACCATAAAGAAGATGTAAAGACTTTGGGCCTCAAGATTTAGTGTCCTTGAGGTCAAAGGATTGCCCCTCCGCGGTTCTACAATTTCTAAAAGCAAAATTATTATCACTTCGTGAAGGTTTAAGTTTTTAAAAACTTTGAAACTGTCCATACACTATACATGAAACAGAATAAGAATGTAAAAACGACGTTTCGTCCTTATGGTGGTACATATCAGATCATATCTAGGAACTAGGGGTGTGTGTAATATTTAAGAAGTATCTAAGCTCAGCACATTTATGCATCGCAATCCACACAGCCGAGTAAACTGTGAGGTAACAATCCAAATGACGGATTTCTTTTGGAAATACGAATGGTGGAGACACATTATGAAGAAAATTATAGATGCTTGGGAAAACAAATCATGAACAATTAGTTGCCATGCACCAAGCCAGATAGTTGGGAGGAATGGGAGCTGTACGGTTTTGGTTTTTTTTTTGTTCACTGGTACATTCCGAAACTTGTTTTTCTTGGAAGGTGAAGTTAGACCGTTCGCATGGCACCTGGTGAATGGAAGGTGATTTCTGATCGAGTGGTGAAACATTTATGGTTTGGCATCGAAAGAAAGACCAGACGAGACGCGTTCCTTCTAGCCTGACCCCATGCAGTCTCTGACTGGCGTTCATTTTGGAAGGGCTTCAAGACACATTTCAAAAAGTCGCTTTCGTGGAACACATTTATTTCCAAGGTTTCCGCGAAATCATCCTACTTTGGGGATCCGATACCTCGTACGATTTTGCAGGCTGACACGCCCAACATGCGGCACATTAGAAGGATTTCCTTGAACTCTTTGGCACTTGGCACATTAATAGAATACCATTTTGATACAAAGGACCGATATTTTAATTGTTCATTACACAAAGTTATAAGTTTACAGGTCTCTACAAAGCAAAGGAGAATACAGGGGGCCAACAACGCCAAATCCCTGGCCCCAAAAGAGCCAAGAAATTCAAAATAAAAAGAAAGAAAGCCTTTTTTTCTCTTTTACATTTCGCGTGTAACATAATTATGCGTTTAAAAAGGTTACATGGAGAAAATTTCAAAACTTTTGCCACCCCCTAAAAACCCTTCTTTGTACAAAGATGAGTTGAAGCACTCATTCCGTTTTTTTCATTGATAAAGCTACGTCAAATGTGCAGAACACAACATCCCACCCCCTTCCACATCGTACTCCACGCAATGCACGTGTCGGTACATAAATCTCGGGCGATTTAGTATTTGTTATGCTTTGCTTTGCTTAGTTGTCGTTTGTTTTATGCGTTACTTATAGGATGATAACCTACAAGTGCGGATGTGATTACCGCACTGCAACAGATGCAAATCAACTGGCGATGATTTAACATCTCATTATACTTGATTGTGCTATCAAGATCGTCCCGTAACCAACTCATTTTTCAACAAAAAAAAAAAACGTCGTTTGACGTAGGATTATCTCTGCTGAGTAGGAGTGCCCACGTGACATATCGTGACTAGAGTGGGAGATAGTGGTTTTGTGGTAAGGTAGAGCTATGCAATAATGTCCCGGAACCTAAACAGATCACACGCTACTTCGTGGAAATCAACAAAATGATTTTGTTTTCTGAGAATGAACGGACACCTTCCAAAACCGCAAGAAATCGTTTTCCTCTCTGGATCGATGTTGAACTGATCATAATAGAACGCAAGAAAGAAAAGGCATAACAACTCGGACAATCTAACTTGGACACTTCTTTTATTTCACTTAACCCAAATCTTATTAACATTTCGTCAAGGTAAAATTACAAAATAACAGTGCACAATAACTTCTACTAATACCAACCGATGAAAGCTTCAGTCCATTCAACTTCTGTCCAACGCACGATCCCGAATGACTTTTGCATACACACCTTTACAGCAATGTCAATATTTCATAGGTTTCAATTGTTTTTGGTGTTTCCAAAATTCTGTACATAACATTTCATAGTTTTAAGATAAATTATTCACAGATGTACATCAGCCTAAATATACAAAATATATTTCAAGATATGTCAGTGAAGAATTGAAACACGTGAATTCTTTCTATATACAGCCAGGGGTTTGTCTATTGCAAAAGCAAAATTTTCGTCCCCATAAACTACTTTGTAAAACGAGGTTATAAAAATGCTAGTAGATACAAGTCAGTTTGGGAACAGTTTTCTAAAACTACAATTAAATTTGTTTTTATCATACAGTTTCATCACCCAGATTTTGCTTAAAAGCCTGCAATTCGTCCTATTGGACTTCTCTCAACGTTCTGATTGCTCTCTTCAATTATGCAATCCGAATAGGTAGGTCCTATGTTGACCATGTTGGTCAATTGATCAAAATGATCGCGCTACTTGTCGATCCCGCGTGAAATCCCCCAATCCATTTTCGTTTTTCAGAAAAATGTTCCACATCCGTGAATTAGAAAGAACAGGCAACTGGCTGACGGGATAGAATCATCGGCAAGTATTGCAAAAGGAGCGACAAATCGCGAAAGGTTCGACCAATCATGCTCAACGCAAGATGCCACTGAAAGTCTATCAAAGTAACAACTTTTTTCCTTAATTGTTTTATACTTCACATGCATTCCCCACCACATCTGTAACTCTTACTGCCACAGCACCTCACGATGGGGACAACAGATAACAATTATATTTGAACGTCGATGTGGTGGGATTTATGAAAGAGACCGTGTTTCTAAGTATTCGTGTCATATCCATACATCAGTCATGACGGGGCGTCTAGTAAAGGAGGGGTATGTAGTAAGCTGATTACCGCTGAGCGTCTCCTGCGTGAAACTCGATGTTCTTCCGTTTTCAACACAACATTTACAACAGTTCGAAT